AAGACTGACAATATGTTATATTTAAGAGAAGGAACAACAAGGACAATACTTTTTTGTGAGGAAGGTTTAAGATTTTTAATTTTTCTAACATCAAAAGTCACATGATTAGAACATGCAGAGTCAATTATCCATGCATTATTCAGAACAGTATATGTGCTTATTAAAACCTTACCATTAGAATCATCACTACCTCCGATTCTAGCAAATATCATGCCTTTGTCATCCTTTTTGTCATGGTAGTTACAACAACAATAGTTGGATTTCTTTTTGAATTCTTCTTTGATGCTGGACTATGATCCCACCACTCGGGGTATCCTATGATTTCATAGCATCGTTCCTTGGTGTGTCCATCCCTATTACACTGAGTACACTTGTAGTTACTTTTTTCAAAATCTTTTGATTGCTTCAATTTGCTGTAATGATTTGCTGGCTGCTTCTTTGTCATCATAGTTATGGACTATCTCTCTCCGGATCAATGCATAACATTCTTCTAAATCAGGTGTCACTTCCTTGCGCAAGATTTCTCCACGAACTTGCTCAAAATCATCATCCAGTCCAGCAAGGAATATATGCACCCTTAATCTTTCAATAGACTTCTGATATGATTTCACATTATCAGGATCCTTCATGACTAGTTTGTCATGATGATCCAATTCCCTAAAAATCTCAACCAACTCCCCATAATATTCAGTTAAGGTTCTATTTTTTTTTTGCAGTGAATACCCTTTGATTCAGGGCAAACACCTGTAGCTCATCACTTCCATCATAAAACGCATTTGACAAAACATTCCAAATATCAAGGGTAGTGGGTAAGCGAAGATACATTTTTATGATTTCTGGCTTCATGGGCATCAGTAGCCATCTTTTCACTTTTTGATTTTCAGCATACCATTTTTCATATTCCTCATCTTTTTCTATTGGAGGCTTCACCTTCCCACAGATGTAGGACAATTTTTCCCTCTCTACAATGTGCATCTCCATTAGTTGTGACCATACATCATAATTGGATTTATTTAAAATGATGTCTATGTTGAAGACACCTTTAGATTGAACAACCACTGGAATTCGTTTTTCTGCCATCTCTCCAGTTAAGATCTCCAATGATTTAGAAAGAAAAAGAAAAAAAGCATAAGCTCTGGTACCAAATTGGAAAACATAGAATTCATTCTATAATTTTATTCATATTATTTTTGTACACAAATACTATGATCTTATAATATTTTACTCCAACAAATCAGGACTAAATAAAAAAAGTTCTGATTATACAATATTTTGTACCGCTATATAAACCTATAATTTAGCTAATCAAATATCTTTATCCCAACCGTTAAAACTATATATACTTGACAACATTTCTTCCTACAGATTTTGTGATTCATAGTAATCATAAATCTCTAAAATATTTAGAAATCTAAATAAAGATTAACACAACACATGCTCAGTGAGTGAAGTATATTGAACAATTTTCTTATGTGATCAAAAACAAAATGTACACCAACTAATAAGGAGTTGACTAGTTAATCAATTGGTGCAAATAAAAGTTTGATTAATATAAAAGAAAATCAAGTAATAAATATATTTACATATTTTTCTTAAATTGATTCAAAATTATTTTCAAAAAATCCCACAATTAATGTGTTGATATTTGAAATAAATCTTTCTAAATCAATAATAAAAATATATGAAATATTACATGTAGATTAAACCATAATGTGCTTGATTAGGTGAATTTAATATTTCATAAAAATATATTAATTGAAATTAGAATTAAAATGAATCTCAATATAATCTAAGAAATTATATGTGAAATTAGTCTTTTATCCAACAACAATATAATATAATTATTGAGAATAAAAAAATAAATATATTATATACTACAATACTATGTAATTCTTTATAATAGAAATGGAAAGCGAAGATCAAGACTTTTAGAACAGAAGAATATGAGCTAATATTAAGATTCTACGAAGAAAAATTATGAAAAAGAGTAAGACTTTACAAAGAAAAAAATATATGTGAAAATTAAGGAAGTATCAAAGTATATCAAGATATTAAATAATTATTTCTAAAGAAAATTAAAAGTAAAAGATCTCTTCTAAAAACAATCACATTTTTATGAGAGATAGTAAAAGTAAAAGTTTGACGAATAAAGAGTACAAACCTATACAACAATTCATTCAAGCTTCTTCAACCTTATAAAAATTATCACTAGAAAATATAAGAGAGAAAATCATTATCATATCTATTAAAAGTGTATCGGTGAATATATTTTATCGATATTTGTACTAACGTATTAGATGTATAATTATATCGTTTAATTACTTAATTATTTAATATTAACATATTTTAGTAAAATGTAATTATCCAGTTCTTTATTCAAATTATTAAATTGTCCATTTCAATTAATTATTTATACATTGTTAAGGGAATGATAAATACAAGAAGATTTGAAGTTTTGAGCTAAAGATTTTTTGTTTAATGTAAAGTGATTTTTCTTAACGAATCAGAAAGTGCTTATTCTTGATTTTGTCAATTAGCTCAATGAAGACCAATTTCCATGAAAGTGTCCAATTTGGTTCAACTAACTATTTTACTTAGCAAAATACAATATGCTCAATGTGATATTATAGACTAGACTTATGTAGAATTGAAAAATCAAGCTTTCACTTCTCTAATTTGTTGATTGCAAACCTTGTATGAGTCTCGTGCATTCCATAATGTTCACTATTGTATAAATATGCTTGAGAAAATCAAAATACATAAATTATTTTCAAGTTATTTTTCATTTTTATAGTTTTTAAATCTATAATTTAGATTTCTCTCTAGTTTTTTCTTAAGTTCATAGCGTAGATTTTTCAAGTTCATTTTCTACTACTTCGTATGAATTATACCACAAAGTTCTTCAGTTCAAGATGCATTAAATTATATTGTCTTTTATTTTTTATCATTTTCATTATCTTGTCACAATTTACATTTCTTCTATTATTTTTTGCACTTTAATGAGTTTCTAATTTTTTGAAGTTCGTTTTCCAATTCTATTCTTGTTTTCTTTTATTGAAAATTGATATTCAAGATTTTAATAGTTTACCTTATGATTGTATTTGCTTAAAAATACTTGATATTTTTTATCTCTGGTTAAGATTAGGAACTAGTCAAAAGTAACTTGATGTACTTGTTTGTAGTTATAAATTGTGGTAAAAATACTTGGTTGTAATTTTGTTGGTTATAATGGAAGCTTTTAAGTAATTCTTAAAGGATAACTAGATATATCCCATGAGTTTGTACCTCCTAATCGATATATCTTGTGTTGATTATTATTATTATTAAATACCTGCATTTTGGGTTGGTAGCAATCACATTATCTATTAAATGGCGTCTTATTCTGTGTAAACGGTTACAAGCTAAGCTACCTGTTAAACGTGTACATCTAAGGGGAGAATTCCCATGCTATTAATCTCACCTTTTTATAAATCATCCAACTCAATCGTTCGTGATTCTCAAAGGAAAATGAAGATTGAAACGAGCATGCACCCTCGGGATATTGAAAAGAAAACACACAATGTCTCTTTATCGTATCATCACAGAATCTTACTCCCTATATTTCTTTTTATATGTTTTAAGGATCGTTTTAAAGAAATCAATAAATATAGCAATGTTTTATTTTAATTATGTTTAAAAATTTAAAACACATAAAACATGTTAATAAAATAATAATTATATTTTAATAAAATAGTTATACAAGCTTTGCAAATCACTGTAAACAAAAACTCTTTAAAAATTCTAATTAAAAAAAAGTTAAGAGTATAGTTAATATAAAATATATTAACCATATATAATTATTTATTAAAAATTTATTAAATATAAAATAATTAATATAACTCATATATACACAATATATATAAACTATGGGTTAAGTTTTATTTAATTTAACACTGAATTTAAATGTGATTTTTTTTTAATTTTTACTACTTCCTTTTTCATATAACTGATTACATAAAATAAATGGTCTAGTTTTTTTTTTTTTTAATTCCATCAATCTATACAATAAAAATTACTCTTAAATTATTTTAACTAATACCTTGTATTTTTTTCTTGTTTAGTTTTCTCTCTTAACAAGTATTCTAGTTAATTAAATATAAAACAGTTAATATAACTCATATATACACAATATATAAACTATGGGTTAAGTTTTATTTAATTTAATACTAAATTTAAACATCAGTATTTTTTTTTATTTTTTACTACTCTTGTTTCCTTTTTCATATAACTAATTACATAAAATAAATGGTCTAGTTTTTTTTTTTAATTCCATCAATCTATACAATACAAAATTACTCTTAAATTATATTAACTAATATCTTTTACTTTTTTCTTGTTTGATTTTCTATCTTAATAAATATTCTATGAAATTTAATTATCATGCCTTTTCTGTGTGAATGCTAGCCAAAAAAAAAAAAAAACTTCGTCTTAAATATAAAAGTTAAAATTAAAAAACATTTATCCAGTTGTGTCCATCTCTTTTACTACTGTCACACTGGTCTCTGCATGGATAGCTTACAAGTTACCATACAAAATCTGTACATAGCTAGTCCCACATAGTATGTTTCATTACTCACCAATTACTCTGCTAAAGGTAATTGCAAACCAGCCTTTCTGATTGTTTCTTTAATGCATCAACTGATTATTGCAACTCTACTTTTCTTTTCCCGTTTCACAATTTTTTTTTACAGTTATTTTTATTATTATTTTTTTCTATTTTAGGTTCAACCGTGAACATGGATGCACCTTTCAGTGAGGAAAAGGTCGGGATTGAACAAAGCTGTGATCTTTAAGGGGAAACTGAGCTTCTGAGAGGGTCTTGAGATGGTCCCAGTCAGCAAGTTTGATTTTTTATTTTTTTTTCTGACCTTTTTCATTGAGGATTGAGAAGAGTTCCTTGGATTCCCACCATGTATTTTGAGCCCATTCTTCTAAAACCGGTGCCTAGGAAGAGGACCTAAATGGGTCATCATGCAAATGGAGCAGTTGATTACAATGAGAAAATTCGCAGCGCACGTGATGGATCACGTGACGGATTGAAGAAACTGTGTATTCCTTCGTTCATCCGTGACAATGTCCGGTACCCTCAGGGTAAGTCCTACTATCTTTTGCCTTTCTTATTTGCCAGTTTTTTATCACTAAGTTTATATTTTAGTTCTCTTTTAATACTTGACCAATCTAGGACCATGTTGCTCTTACTCTGGTTTTTGCTTACTATCTTTGTGAAACAGAAGCATACATTGCTTGCTGCAGTAAGAGTACCTACCCTGTTGATAATGTCAGCAAAGAAGAAAACAGACGTATGACACCAATGTTAATCAGTGTGGAAGAAAATGCTTCAGGAGGGGAATGGAGAAATGACCCTGTTAAGGAAAATCACAACCGGACAAGGGAAGCAGTCATGATATTGATCTTAGTGAACCACCTCAACAAAAGCCAAGGAGAAAGAAGAGTCCCAATGTCATTAAAGAGGACAAACCCAAAAGAACTCGGAATCCTGTTACACCGAAGCCTGTTCAATCAAAAGAAAACCCAACTGATAAGAGGAGGTATGTAAGAAGAAGAGTAAACAGCAGTTCTGCTTTTCCAACAGAAGTGACTGGAGAGCCAAGTAAAGAAAAGCTGCCTGAATCTGCCCAATGTCATGTAGAAGGTCTCTAAATTTTGATGGAAGAGCAGGAGTTCGAAGTTATGAAGTCAAAGAAAAAGCATCTGTACATCCAGGCAGTGAAATTTGTGTAGTCATGCAGGAAATGAATGTGGACCTTGCTTGTGATCTAAACACTTTCGTGAAGCCAAAGGAAAATCTAACTGCCAAGAGGAAATATGTTAGAAGGAAAGTAGTGAACAAGGGTTCTGCTCCTCCGAGAGAAGTGACTGGAAAACTGACTAAAGAAAAGATGTCTGAATCTGCCCACATTTCATGTACAGCGTCTCTCAATTTTGATGAAAGAGCAATAGATCAAGGTTATGCAGTCAAGAAAAATCCAGCTATAAGTCCAGGAAGTGATACTAGTGTAGTCATGAAGGAAATGAGTGTAGGCCTTGCCTATGATCAAAGCACTTCCGTGAAGCAGGCATTAAATGACAACATGACATTACCTAAAAACACAGAAGCCCCAATTACATCATCAAAAATCAATCCCCCTGGTACAAAGACAAAAGAAAACACGACTGGCAACTGGAAGACTGCAAGGAAAGAAGTATTGAATTTGTTTCCCACTCCAACAGAATTGACTGAAAAAACGATGCTTGAATCTAACAATATGTCAAAGAACTTATATTTTGACATGCGAACTAGAAGAAAAAGCTCCGAGACAAAGCCAGAGGAAAACCAAACTGGCCGATGGAAATATGTGAGAACTCCTCCAATAAAAGTGCCTAGAGAATTGACTAAAGAAAAGATGTCTGCATTTGCTCAAACACCATGGACATGGTCTGGAAAATTTGATGAGAGAGCAAGATATCAAAGTTATGTAGTCAAGAGGAAGTATATGAGAAGGAAACGAGTGAACAAGACTTCTGCTCCTCCAAGAGAAGTGACTGGAAATGAAAGAGAAAGAGATCAAAATATGCATTCAAAGAGAATTCAACTGTAGGTCTGGGCAGTAAAATTGGTGAAGTCGTGCAAGAAATGAATGTAGACCTTGCCTGTGATCTAATTACTTCCATGAAGCTAGAAGAAAACCCAACTGGCAAGAAGTACGCTAGAAGGAAAAGAGTTAACAAGACTTCAAATCCTTCAAGAGAAGTGACTGGAGGACTGACTAAAGAAAATATGTCTGAATCTGACCAAATGTACATGCTCACCAAACTTTGATGAAAGAGCGCGAGATCAAAGTTATGCAATCAAAGAGAATACAGCTGTAGGCAGTGGAATTGGTGTAGTAATGCAGGAAATGAATGTAAACCTTGCATGTGATCTCATTACTTCCTTGAAGCTAGAGGAAAATCCAACTGGCAAGAGGAAGTATATGAGATGGAAACGTGTGAACACAACTGTTGCTCCTCCAAGAGAAATGACTGGAGAACAGACTAAAGAAATGATGTTTGAGTCCGCCCAAATTTCATGTACTGGTTCCCTAAATTTTTATGAAGCAGCAAGAAATCAAAGCTATGCAGTCAAGGAGAATCCAACTGTACTTCTGGGAAGAGAAATTGGTATAGTCATGCAAGAAATGAACGTAGGCCATCTAAACACTTCCATGAAGCAGGCATTAAATGATGACATGACATTACCAAAGGACACACAATCCCAAAGTACAACTTCAAAATTCAATCTCCCTGGGGATAAAAACAAAAGAAAACCTGGCTGGCAAGAAGAAGAATGTGAGAAAAAAAAAGATTGAATCTGTCTCCTTTTCCTCTGAGAGATATGATAAAATTGACTGGAAGTAGGATGCTTGGATCTAACAATATGTCATGGAGAAGGTCCTTAAATTTTGACATGGGAACTAGAGATGGAAGTTATGTAGGCAGAGAAAATATAGATTTGCAGATTGGACCAAAAAGTATGTTGTTAGAGGAAACTGCAGTAGGCCACACTTACACTGAAGTAGCTTGGAGGAAGGAGGTATTAAATAATTGCATGTCATTACATGAGGAAAGACAATGCCCAAGTATATCTACGTCAAAAATCACTCCCCTTGGGGCAAAGCTGAATATCAAGGCAACTACTCAGGATGGAAACATCAATAGTCAAAGTTCAACAATAAGGCTACAAATGGCTAGTTCAAAAAGAAAAAGTTATGGTACTTTTAATTGTGAAGATGACAGCAACATGGATCTGCTTGGGGCACACTACATTGGGCACACTACCTTTAAAAGTGCCCTTTCTGGATCAGCACATTCTAGCACAAATGAGATGCTACAGCAGTCTAGTTTTACAGTAGACAATTATACCCTGCTAATGCGGAAGTCATCAGGTATTTGAACTTAATCTTTCGTATTGATAAATTATTTTATATCTCAAAGAAGAAATATTCCACCATGAAAATTTTTGCTTTTGCTTTGCATACATTGCTCCTGAAGTACTGTTGAAAACAATGAACAACATTCATGCATTAACTGAGCAGTTTAGACGACTAAACATAATATCGGGTTCTTGTATTGATGCATTAGTTCAGCTAGTTTAAAGGGATGTTGCTAGACACTGTAATTATCTAGGGGTCTAGCAACTTGCTCTCTCGTTTAGCTTACCTTGTGTCGAGGGCTTTATCTTACCATTTCTATTTGTGTATTATGGTTTATGCTACTGGCATTCTGTTTCTGGTGGTCAACTCTGTTGACTTTGCTCAAGTTGTTTTGAAATGAGAATGGCAAGGTCAAAGCTCCTAGGCTTATCAAAACAGTTTCATGTTCTTTGTTTACAAACGTATTTAATGTTGGAATGGAATGTTTACTTTGATATGCTCTTTAACTATTTGACATTTTCCTATTGGAATCAATTTATGTTAATTGATCTTGAAAGGAAAATTAGTTGCACTTTAAGCATAATGTTCTTACTTTTCATTGCATCCTGGAGGTCACTAGTCATGAGTAAGCCTGAATTATATAGGTTTAAAGTGACTAATATTCACCTTAAATATAGAATTTTTAAATTATTTTGAATTTTGCTAAACATACTGTATTGACTGCTGCTCATAATCACTAAATGATGAACCATGACAATCATAAATTCACTAGATAGTAGAAGAAAATGTTGGGTTCATGAGGATAAACAAGATCTGTTACTTGTTACTCAATTTTTGTGGAAAGGAAATTTGCTTGGCCATTTGCTTATATGAACCTAAGTGGTTGGCGTTGAGAGAAAGGCATGTATATAGTGACATTCCTATCCTCTTCCTTGGTTGAAATGAAGTAGTTTAAAAATATAGGTGTTGGGTATGATTGGGTAGATCAACATATCAGGGAATATTTCTCGAAATATAGGTGGTCAAGTATGTTGAAGAGTATTGGGGTGGATGACATAGTGATTTTATGTCATTGTTGATCTATTGACAATGTTTGTCTGAAGGTAGTGAGGATTACTTTATATGTATTCTTACTTATTTTTTGATATTCACGTTTGGTTGCCATTTGACCCATTCACCTTACCCAGTTGTATCCAAACAATTAGGTCACACTTCAAGCTTTTCACGTTCTTTGTAATGTTTTACACTTGGAGTCCACATTTCAAGTTTTCTTACATCATTTCAGCATGCTTCTGACATATCGGTTAGTTGGTTGTTGTTAATTGGGTACTCGACGACTTTATTATTTACTCCTTACACATAATCATATAAGAATTTCAAGGTTGGATTTTTTTAAAGTAATTATCGAATCTAAGGGACACGTTTTTCTTTGATGTAGATTGGGCAAAGTTTTATTTATATCGGACTAGTAAGCTCTTTGTTATTAAAGTTGGCCTTGGTTTGAGATGACATCAATATTAGGATAAAATTAATAATTGATTGTAGAACGTTTTTGATAGTTAGAAAGTTTTTTAAAGTTTAAAAATTGTTGTTATCGAGGAACATTAATGAGACTTTTTGGTTTTAAGAGATTTAATGTTGTGGTTTTTAGAGAATACTTGGGAAATGTTTAAATAGAGTATTATAAATTTGTTTTCAATATGACAAAGAATTAATAAAAAGTGAAGTATCTAAATTTTTGAGATATTCTTTGTTGTCAAATTGGTATTAAAGCTAGGTTTGTTAGAAGAAAATGGTTCTTCAGAAGAGTGAAAGCTAGGGTCAGAAAAAAGTGAGATGGATGATCTGACAAATGTTGTTGTAGTTGTGCCTTGACTAACGAAGGATGTCAACTATGATAAATGAAGTGCCTAGATGAAGACTCTCTTCAAAGCCCAAGGTGTTTAGAAGATGGTGGAGGAAGGTTTTGAACAACCTGAGACCATAGAAGAATTGCTGATCAATGAACAGAGGGAGTTAGAGAAGAAATGTGAGAAAGACAATGCATATTTGTTTTTGTTGTTTCGAACTATAGAAGATTTTGACTTTCAGAAGATTGTAGGAGCCATAATGGCATCTGATGCGTGGGATGTGTTAAAGAAGGAGCATGAGAAAGATGACTAAATCACATGGATTTGGCATCAGACACTACGAAGCGAGATAAAGAACATGAAGATGAAGGAGTCGAAAAAAGTTTTCTAATGTTCTACGTGTTGAAAACGTGACAAAACAACTTAATTAGAATAAAAAGGTTTTTTCCATAGAACAGATCATTGAAAATATCTTGAGATCATTACCAAATTCTTTTAATAGGTAGTGTGTGCGATAAAACAAGCGAAATAATTGTTTGAGCTTTCAATAAAAGAATTGATTGGATCTCTTGAAGCCTATGAACATCAAATGGAGAAAGATAAGGAGGACGAGGACATGTGTGAGAAACTGCTCCAGAACGAGGAGAAGATGTTGTATTCTCAGAATAATAGAGGAAGAGGTCATGGTGGTCGGGCTCAAGGTGGTCGATTTGATCGAGGCGGATTCAATGAAATGAAGAAGAGATCAACAAAACTGGCAAGGAAGAGAACGTGAATTGAGAGGAGGTCGGTCAACGAACCACTCAGATGTCAAGTGTTTCAAATGTGATAAATATGATCATTACGAAAATGACTGTTACTCAGAAAAATGCTTTGTGGAAAGGACGAGTGTAACCCCTTTACAGATTACATTTATTAATCCTAATTTCTTATCTAATTTAGTAAAATATCAAAGTAATAAAAAATTTTAAGTGAAGTTCTTCATAAAGTCATACTTATTTATTATACAATCCCCAACCTATGCTCTAGATTTTTTTGCATTTGACATCTATTTCTTGAATTCTACATTCCTTCATCACACGTCACCAACATCTGAGATTGAAAATATTTATGGGGTTAGACATTTAATTTACCCACAGCAAACAAAACAAACATTCATACAATAAAATTAAACAATGAAACATTCCTTCATAATAAGTTCATAACTACATATAAATATACAACCATATATAATTTAATTCGAAAATTAATTATGAGAAACAAATAAATCAATCATGGAAACATAATAAAGAATATCATATAAATCATGAATAATCTATAATTTCATCATGCAATATGTTTATGATATGCACATGTGACTCAAAACGTAAAACTTGAAAATCATGTTCTTGACTCAAAATCTAAAAAAATCATTTTTGACTCAGTGCTCCATGGAGACTCATATGAGTGTCTAGTGGAACCAAAACTTAACATTATCCTGTCCAGTGATTCGACAATGCCCCACTAAACACGAACAAGTAGACAGTAGTCAAAGTGTCAGTGCACCCGGCAGGCTACCACGACACAAAATCAAATAAAGACTGGCCACTTATGGGATTGCCCATACCCAAACACTCCCTAGACCAAAGGTCCCAATCCCATAGACCAGAAGTCATGTCTTACCTATTCTACTCCCCCATTTACTATCAGAGATACTGGTAGCTCGATTCTCAATCATTCATTCTCATACATTCTCTATCTCATTTGGCCGGCTATTTTCGTAGTCATATTCCGCTACCAGATACTCTTGATAGTAAATTTTTAAGAAAATGACTCACAGAAATATGTTCAAAATTCTGTTTTGTATATCATTGTTACTATCAACCGTCCTTGATAGCAACTTAATGGTAATTTCCAATACTTTTTTGTAAAAACTTTTCTGGGACTTCCAGAAAACATTTCATGCACTATGTTTATGTCTTGTATGAAACAAAACAATCTATCATCAAGTAATTACTTAGAAACATCTCATTCATATATTCACAATTTCAATTATAATTCATAGTTGTTTTAAACAAGACAATTTCCATTAATAATTTATTTCGTAGGGTTCAGTGTTTTGTCAATATCTTGAGTTCTAGACGTCCTTTTAAGATGATTCCAATTGTGTTGGAAAGATAAGACAATAACTTATAACTTTGATGAAGGCATTATCCTCAAATTCGAACTTTTACTGAGTCGTTTTCCTAGTAAACAAAGAGGTGATAATATACTATTTGGCTTTATCTCGATTATACCCTTAAACTTTTTCAAAATTTCATTTATGTCCCTAAGTTGTGAAATGATCATTTTGCTCTTGAACATTTTCTATAATTTCATTCATGTCCCTAAAATGACTATTTTACCCTTGAACATTTTCTATAATTTCATCCATGTCCCTAAAATAACTATTTTACCCTTGGACATTTCTATAATTCCATCCATGTCTTTCAAATGACTATTTTACCCTTGAACATTTTCTATAATTCCATCCATGTCCCTAAAATGACTATTTTACCCTTGGACATTTTCTATAATTTCATTCATGTCCTGAAGTCATGATGAAATGACCATTATACCCTTAATCTTTTTCAAAATTCCATCCTTATCCCTTTCTTCAATCTCTCGTCCAGGAAGCCATGACAAATCTCCAGATTTTCAATTTTCAAGTTTCAGGCAACCAAACTAATTCCAAATCCAAATTAAACCCTAAATATGTTCAATTTAAGTCAAAAATAACAATTTTACTATGTAATTCATCCTTAATTTCAAGAATTTCATCAACATTTCAAACTTTGCAAATGATGAATAGTAATATCCAATTTCAAAATTTCAGACATTCGTATAAATAAAATTAAACGTCTAATTCATACCTATTTCTCTAAGATTTGCTAGTATTTTATTTCTCAATTCCTTCCTTTTCTCAGAATCTGGTGCTTATCTGTTTGGCCGTGAATTACTTGTCCAATTTCATCCTATTTATAGATTGAACTTACCGACTTAAATTCCTTCTTGACTTTTCTCCACCACCTTAATTTCAATTGTATACTAAGGCCACAATACCTTCTCTTTCTCTCTTTTCATTTTTCGTAATAAGGATATTGTACATCATTTTTTTTAATATATCCTTTCTTCTCATAAAAAGTTACATAATATTTATATAATAATTTGTAGGAACTTAAGCAAATAATTAATTACAGTAAATTGGGATGTTACAACGAGTATTATGCGAAAGAATGTCAAAAGGTGGATGAGACCCATCTTGTGAAAGTTAGAAAGAATGTCATTTGAATAAAATTAATAATTGTCTGGAGAACGTTTCTAGTAGTTAGAAAGTTTTGAAGTGTTTAGAAACTGTTGTTATTGAGAAGCAATACAAAATGAAGTTTCTAAGTTTCTAAGAAATTCTTTGTTGTCGGAAAATGTGAGTAGTTAGAAATCTTTGATAAACTTCCTCGTATGTTACCCACTCGTAGTGTATTTATCTCCTCGACAACATTCTGATCTTAACAATAAAATTTCTTTTATGGTTGTGTATTTTGGTGTTCCAAGTGTTGACATTTTGTTGAATTCTTTGTTTTTTGCAAACATCATGACCATTGAGATGTCGAAGAATAAAAATTTCTCTAGACATTTTGGTCAGGAATGTGAGGTGTGGGCCTGGAAGGATAATCAATCAAATGTGTCGACAAAAGTGGTTTAAGTAGCTCCCAACGTGTTGCCATCCCAAGTGGAGGTTTTAAAGAAGCACAAGCGAAAAAAAGATGGTGTTTCGACAACATCACAAGGCTTCACCTCGTGCATCTCCTTAAAGGATGTGAACTCACATATCAAGCCTAGGATTAATCCTTTAAAACTTAAACAAATTCTTAGGTCTGAGCATCAATTATGATATGTCGACTGGCGAGAAGGACATTTATATGATGACTAGGTTGGCTGAGGTGTTGTATGTCTTTATTGAGTTACAACGTCATTCATTTGTGCTTGGAAAGCAAATGGGCTTAGACCTGTTAAAGGTTGGGAAAAACACGAAGTTGCTTCGTGTGAAGCGTGAGATAACTGAAGCTTCTAGTTCTTTGTGGGAAACTTTATAGGCTAACTCAACATTGAATGCCAAGATGGCTAGATTGGAAGATCGAGTCTCTCATGTGAATACTAATAATGGTATGTGGTAAGATAAGTTTACGGAAGCTAAGGAGAAAATGAGGGTTGAGACGAGTGTGTTTGAAAAGAAATTTGTTGAGATGACCTCAACGATGGAGACAAAGGTGAAGATGAGGGAGAAGGTTCAAGATGAGCTGTAAAAATCATGTAGTATATTATTTAGAGCATATTGAAAGCTTTCATAAGACTATCTAGTAGATGCCTTTTTTTAATGATCATGGAGTTTGATTGAGTGAAGTGAAGTTCAATAAGGAATATGACATTCATCGTGGTGTTTTTGTTCATGTGGATGATTTGCCTAACGATTATAAAGATTCTCTTTGGTCGAAAACTTCTTGTAATGAACATGAGAAATGTTAGGAGGATTATGTTCTTTTGCTTCTTCGTTGTGATTTGTTTTGATTATTGGTTCGAATGATTGTCAATTGTACTAAATTTATTTTGATGGTTTGTACTAGATGAATTATTATCCTTTTATCATAATTTATTTGTGCCTTTTACTTGTTTTTTGGGGAAAAATACTTTAATTGTTATCTACTCGGGTGAAATTGTTCTATTTTGGAGAACAAAACATCCTTAGTCAAGAGTGATTTGGGAAGGTTTAATTGTAAAGATTAAAACTTCCTACATTGAGGAGTGTGCGTTTGACAAAAAGAAAATTGTTCAAAGAAATTTTCATTTAAAATTGTCTTGTTAAAACCTCCCTAGCAAAAATCCTCCTTAGAAAAGGTGATAGGAAAGAGTGTACATTACATTTGCTTACTAAAATAAAATTGAAGTAGTGACACATTCCATGTTCTTGAGATGAGCTTGCAAAAAGTTCCTCAAGTCTATAAGCTTTATTCCCTAAGTATTGTGGGACATAGTAAGGCTCATCCTCCCAATTAGAGGAGAACTTTCCCTTGTTGGGGTCTTTTCATGCATTACTTCGTATTCTTAGTACAAATCTTTTGAGGAAACTTCGATTTTTAACCTTGGAGTTGTATTTCCAAGAAGCTTTTAGTCTATACACTTCTTTTTGAACCCAAGCTCTCTCTTGTAACTCATTGATGACGTCTACATCACCTTCAAGCTCTCATTATTAACTTCATAGTTGAAAACTTTGTAGCACAAGGAGGGCTTGCCAACCTCCACCAGGATCATGGTGTCTACACTGTATGTGAAGTTGTGTGGTGTTTCTTGAGCAGATGTTTGTGGTGTGCATCTATATGCCCACAGGGGTTTGAAAAACTTTTCGGCCCATTTACATTTGGTCATGCCTAACCTTTTCTTCAATTCAATCAAGATTACTTTATTTTCTGCTTTGACATCCTCACTAGTTTGTGGGTGCTTAACAAAGTTAGTCATGTGCTAAATACCTATGCCTTTGCAGAATTTTCCCAAGTTATTGTCTATTAATTGTTTGTAGTTATCGGCCACAATAATGTTAGGTATCCCGAAGCGACAAATAAAATTTCTCAACATAAATTGTTGTACTTGTTGGACTGTGGTCTTGACGAAAGATTTGACTTCAATCCATTTTGTAAAGAAATTATGATGACCAAGAAAAATTTGTATTGACCTTTAATTGGTGGTGTGACCTTCGATCCATTCCTCATGTTGCAAACGACCATGATGGTGTGATGTGTCAGATCTTTTTCACATCAGCATGTATTAGATTGTCATGCTTCTAACATTCAATACATTTCTTGACATATTGCGCTCAATCATCATGGATACTTGACCAATAGTATCTATGTGAAGGATTCTCGCCGCCATTGATCTTCCCTGGAATGTAGTTTGCATAAACCTTTGTGAAACCCTTTCTGGTAACACACTTCAATAACAAGTTTTTGAATCCTTGCTTGAACAATTTGTCGCTAACAAGTATGAAATGAGAAGCTTGATTTCTAAAAGAGATTGTTTCTTTGGGGTTCTTTGGACATGCGTTGTTTGTGTGGGTGTCATCCAACATGGTTCGGTTTGGGTTGTGCATGTTTCTTCATATTTAATGGATGACTTATCAAATTATCATTGTTGGGACTAGCTAGTTTAGATAACACATCAACCTTGATGTTTTCTTCTTGGCAAATATGTTCCACTTTTGCTTTTGCAGCGGCCACTAACGTTTCGCTTACAAGGTGGAAGTATTTGAGTAGTTGTGGATCTTTAACTTAGGACTTGCTAAATATGTGTCTAATGGTTAGTTGCGACTCACTTTTGCGGATTACCTTGATAACTCCCATATCTTTTGCTAATTTTAGCCCTGCAATGAGTGCCTCTTATTCCACTAGGTTGTTGAAAGTATGGAAATCAAACACAATTGATTGCTCGATTAGTAAGTTCCCTTGGTCTTCTAGTACAATGTTGGCTCCACTGATTTTCTTATTAGATGACCTATCCATATACAGGAACTACTAGTTAACATTTAGCTCGGGCTTGAGGCTTAGTTCATTGATGAAATCACCAAAATCTAAGCCTTGATTGGTCCTCTTAGCTCATATCTAATGTTTTGTTCAGATAGTTCAATGGACCACGTTATCATCCTTCTAGCTCGGCGAGACTTTCAGAATATCTTGTATATTGAGTAATAATTATGGACTACTATTTAATGCCCTTGAAAATAAATACATAATTTTTGTACCGATGTCACAAAAACTAGAGCCACTTTTTCAATGATTTAGTATCTTGTTTTCAGGTCCAATAGTACTTTGTTGATGTACTAGATCGGCCTTTGGGTTTTCCTTTCTTCTTAGGTAAGGAACAAGCTTATTGCTTCATCCAACACTAAGATGTACAAAATGAATTTGCCTTTTGTTATCGATTTTTGTAGAATGGGAGAGAGCTTAAGGAGGAGCTTACTTTTTATGAAGACCTTATTGCATGCACCATCCCACTTGAATGTGGTCGACTTCTTAATTAGTTGGAGTATTGACTTTGTCCGGTAGCGGATCTCAACCATTGATTTTTTAGGGCCAAATAATATATATTTAATAAATAATAAATAAATAAATATAAAAGGATAAAAGAAGATGAAAGGATGAGAAGACAAAATTGTAAATATATAAGTAAATATATTAAATAATCATTAAATTTGGGGGAACTAAAATTATAAATTATATAGAAGTTACAAAACTTTGGGGTCAGTTCTCAAGAAGATTCACCATTGACTTTGTCTTGTCCACTAATCTGAGGAGGAAACTAGTGAAGGATGTGAGTCGTTCGACAAGTCTTTGAACCTCTTTGAGGTTTTTTGAACTTTGCATCTCCACAATGCTTTGCATTTGTTTGGGTTGACTTCTATACCTTTGTGCATCACCATGAAGTCTAGGAACTTACCCCCTTTCGCTCCAAAAACACACTTGTCCGGGGTTCAACCATATATTATATTATTATAGTGCCTAGAAGGCTTCGTCTAAGTTCATGATTTGGTTAGATGCTTGAAAGACTTCTATGTTGCTACTAATTTGTTTTTCAAAAAATTTGTCCATTAGACGTTGGTAAGTGGCTCCAACGTTCTTGAGGCAGAAAAACATCAGTCTATAGTAGTAATTGGTAGTTTTTGTCATGAACACAATCTTTATTTTTTTTGTCACTAGGATGCATCCAAATTTGATTGTATCAAGATTGAGAGTATAAGAAGCTCAAGATCTTATGTTCGGCGACTCCGTCAACCAATTGGTTTATGCTTGGTAATAGATGTGCATCTTTCAACCAAACTTTATTGAGATTTGTATAGTCTGTGCACATTCTCCACTTGTCATTTGATTTCTTCACAAGCACTACATTGGACAACCACGTCGTGTAGTGAGCCTCTCAAATAATGTTTGCTTCCAATAACTTATGAACGAACTTCTTCTGTAGTCAGTTTTCCTCATTCTTCTCCCATTTTTTTTCTTCTCCCATTTTTTTTCTTCTTTTGCTCTTGCTTTTCAACAAATTGACAACTTGTGGGAGATTATTCTTGGATCTATTCATGGCATATCAATGGCCTCCCATGCAAACAATTTAGTATTCTTTAACAATGTTGCTTGTATAAGGTTGTTATCCTCCAGGGATAAGGTCGAGCCTAACCTGGTGTTTTGTCCTTCTTTCCCTAACTGGAAAGTTATTATCTCTTCTTGAGGTTCTACCTGGGCATCATTGTTGACTCTCGAATCTAGGTTGATCATAACCACCATCCCTCCTTCATCAAATATGGGGATGTTGGTTGGTATTGTTAGTGTGACTTTTAGACTTGTCATGTAGCTTTTTTGGTCACCATGAATTCTGAATATCGTCCTAGAGTTCGAGGAAAATTTCATCACTAAGTGAGAAGTTGATACAATGGCACAAATGCAAGGAAGACTTGTTAAGGAGTATGTTGTAGAAGGTGTTAGCATCCACTATTAAATATGGAACCTTGATAGTTTGGTAGCTTACACTTCCTCCTTGAAACTTAGTGTGTAAGTCGATATAACCTTTTGTGTTAACTCTTTCTCCTGAGAACCCTACAATCTAGGCATCATAGGGTTGGATGGAATCCTCCAAAAGATCTAGATGCTTAAAGGTTTTTCAATATAAAATGTCCACAAAGCTACCTTAGTCGACTAGTGTTTTATAACTGCAAAACTGGTGCTTCCACTGCGATGACCAAGATGTTGTCTTATTTTGGGTTGATTGCTTGAAAGTCATTGTTAATGAATGTGATGGTCAACATCCTCCATCTCAGCTTGGTGACAACTACATTAACATATTGTACCACTTTCAAGTGCCTTTTCTAGTAGAATTGGAAAACCCCTCTCTTTCAAAGCCTCTAGTTATTGTGTTTATGACACCATTAAGATGTTGATCTTTTCAGTTTTTCCAATTGTCTTTCGTGTAGTGTTGGGGTTACGCTTCTTTTCTAGTGTAATCCTCTCGTCTTGGAGTGTACCTTCTTTCAATATCATTGTTTCTTCGGACAAATTTGCACAAATGTCCAACTTTGATAAGTTCCTTATTTTTATCTTTATGGACAATGCAATCATCCATTGTGTGATAGTAGTTGCGATGATAGCGAAAATGCTTAGTATGGTTAGCATTAGGTGGGGTGGGAACATTTCTAAAAGTAAGGATCATGTATGTATTGAGTGCTTCTTCAAGACCTTAGTTTAATAAGTGTTTAATGGAGTGTAATAGG